GGGGCGGGCGGGGGTCGGTCGGTGTCTTGCGGGGCGGGGGGGCCTGCCCGCGGTGGTGTGGGCCCCGCGGGGCGGAGCGGGGCCGGTGCTGCGGGCCGGGCCGGGCAGAGACTGCCCCAAAGCCCGGGCTGCTCTCCAGACCCTTTGTTAGTGCAGTGAGCAGCGTTTGGAGCGCACTCAGCAAACCCCGAACAGTGCTGCGCTGCAGTGTGAAGGTGGTGCCGTTCGGGGGTCGGGGTAACACGGTGCTTTTCTAGCGGGGATGTTAGCTGTGAGTTCTGGCTGAGCTGGGTAAGCAAAGCCCGGGTTAGCGGAGGATCACTGAGTTTTCCCTTGAGTTTTGCTGTTTGTTGACATCAGCATCATCCATCAGATAGTTTTATTGACAGTGCACCGATAACAGTCACAGTTGGCATAAATGCTGTTGTATATCTGCTGCTCACAGATGCTGACTGAAAATGAATAAAGACAAGCAGGCTGATGAAGATGATGATGACAGCGAGCTGTTTGAAGACTTCACAGAGCATTTTAACCAACTTGAACTGCTGGAGACGCACAGGCATTTGATTCCTGTAGGAACTCAGAGCTGTTGGTCAGGACAGTCTGATGATGATGATGATGAGCAAGAAAGAACGGAGGAATGGTACGAAATGCAAGAAAAGAAAATGGAAAAACATCCAGAGAAATTGCTACTCTGGGCAGCTGAAAACAATCGGGTAAGGCACTTGCTCTGTAAATATATATAATTTACAAGAGTGTTCTTTTGAGCACGTCTGAAGTCTCATCCACAAACATGGGCAGCTGAAAACAATCGGGTAAGGCACTTGCTCTGTAAATATATATAATTTACAGAATGTTCTTTTGAGCACATCTGAAGTCTCATCCACAAACGAAAATTTACCTATACTTTTCTTTCTTTCTCTGAGCTGTTTTGATCTGCTTTTGCTAGCCACTGTATGTAAACCATCCCCCTTTGTAGCTCATACACACTAAAGCATCTCTGGATCCATTGGCTTTTAGAATAAATTTTGATTCCAGTTTAAAGTTCAAGTAACAGCACTTTTCTTTAACTTCTATAAACTGAAAGCATGCTAGGCTCTTCATGCAAATAGGCCTTTTACCTGGGGTGGAGAGACTGTGTCTGAGATTTTATAAGTGCTTTTGGCACTGACAGAAATTAAACTTCAGGACCATCAAAGCCGTGCATCTTGTTTCGTAGCATCACGTGAAGTTCCCTGTTTTCTTTAAACAGCTGAGTACCGTGAGGAGGCTCCTGACGGAAAAGCTGGCTCCAGTGAACGCTCGCGATGAAGACCAATACACTCCTCTCCACCGAGCTGCCTACAGCGGGCACTTGGATGTTGCACACGAGTTGGTGGCCCAAGGGGCCGACGTCCACGCGCAGACCGTGGACGGCTGGACGCCCCTGCACAGCGCCTGCAAGTGGAACAACACCGGAGTGGCCGCGTTCCTGCTGCAGCAGGGTGCGGACATCAACGCGCAGACAAACGGTCTGCTGACACCCCTGCACATTGCTGCAGGGAACAAAAACAGCAGGGAAACCCTTGAGCTCCTGCTGATGAATCGCTACGTGAAGCCAGACTTGAAAAACAACTTGGATGAAACTGCCCTTGACATTGCAAGGAGGACTGATATCTATCACTACCTTTTCGAAATAGTAGAAGACTGCATAAACACTGTGTCCCCATAAAAGCTTGTGAATGTGAGGTTTTCTGCCTCTTTCTTGTTGGTGTTCTGCATGCCTGTTGGTGGTGGTCTGTCTCTTTGCAACAAGGTTTTAACGTAAGATATTTCAGTATTCTCAGAACCGCTCCTGCCGCGCAGTTCAGTGGTCATGCTTGTACTTTGAAGCGTTACTGCTGTTAGTCAAGGTGGTCAGAAAGTCTCAGTAATTCCTGTGAGTTTCTATTTAATAAGTGCAGATTTGGAGAGGCCTTTGTAAGCTGTCTGTAGTGTCAAAGCAGGGGGGAAAATGGAATATTTACTTGATGTGAAAAAATTCTGGCTTGGTTATGCAGACTTTATTACGGCTCACTTGAAAATTATTTTTTGAGAAATTCTAACTTTTTTAAAACTGCATGAAAGCTCAGAATGAATGTAACTTATTTGGGTGATACACAAAATGTTTAATGAACCTAATGTAAGGCTTATTATAAAATAAAATATTCAACCCAAAGTATTTTGTCATATTTTTAATTGAAAGCCCATTTATCAATGCAATTGCCTGTTCAGAAATCAAACACATTGTTCATAGGATAGAAAGTAGTTTTCGTTTATTTTTTTCCTGCTGCTTTTCAGGGAAGTGATTTTCTATCAAGATCCTGTTTACTTTTCCCTTGCAATTAAGTTGCATAAAGACTTAATGTCAAGAATGTGGCATTAGTTGGAAAAAACTAGCCACAACCATGTGAGGATAAACAGCCAGCATAGTCATGTCTGATTTAGTTACAGGTAACTGAGTGTTTTTCTTGCACTTTTGAGTTAGTACACTAAAATTTTGCCATGGTAAGAGCACGCAGTATGGTTTTCAGCTTCAGCTTTACCATCTGTAATTTAGAAGTGGAGAAAGTCACTTCTCTGTTAAACTGAAAATTGAATCTAAGTGCTGAGGTACTGTCACTATGAGAGCTGTGGTAAACACTGTCCCATGCAGATGGCTCACTGAGTGATCCCCAGCTCCTTCCATTAACATGCAGCACAACTGTAGCAGTAGCAGCAGGGCTGGGATATGTTGGACCACATTTGGTGCTCTGATCAAGCTACTGCGAGGGCATCTTGGTCACCCACCTTTTAGAAGCAGTAAAGTTCAGCACTTTCTGTTGGAAAATGGAAACAGCTTCTGAACCATGAACGGTGTAACATGGTTTTAATGGTTATTATTTTTAAAAGTTTGGTTTCAGAACATCTGTGGAAGGAGATGAATATACCTTGAGATGCATTAAGGAATAATAGAGATGTGGATTACAAGGCCACTTCAGTCCAATAAGCAGTGTCTGAAGACGCCTCGTTCTATGACCGAGCTAGTACTTTTGAGTTTCAGCAGATATACATCAGTTAAACTGGACTCTGTCGTTCTTCCCCTCAGCCCGGCATCCTTCCCTAGGGCAGGCCCGTGGTGTCAGCCCACAGTGGTGCGCAGTTTGTGATGTGCGCGCCCCGCTGCCGTGCCCGTGCTGAGTGACGCACAGAGCAGCTGCCGATGGCACCCGGAGCTGTCCCGGGGCCGGCACGGCCCCCCCTGCCGGGCAGCCTGGCAACCCCCGCGGCGCAGCGCGCCCAACGGCCCGCAGCGGCAGCCATGAGGGCGGCGGCCCGGCACGCAGCCGCCGCGGCGGCCGGAGAGCCGGGCAGCGAGGCCCGCGGCGAGCAGCCCCGTGAGCACGGCCGTCCCCGGTCCCCGGCCGCCCTGCCCCGCTCCGCCGTGTCCCCTCGGGAGCCCAGCCCGGGCTCCCCGCGGCTCCTCACTGATGTCCCCCAGCCCTTGGTGCCGTGCGGCGTCCGCATCCCTCTTCAGCTCCCCGGAGACTCCTGCAGCGAGGATGTCTTCTTGGATGCCTCTCCCTCTACGGCCCTGCCCTGGGGTGTCTGGCACGGGGAGGCACGGTGACCGACTCCCCGAGTGGCCCTGGGGTGGCTTTGGCTACCAGCACACCCCGTCTGGGTGGAGCCACCAGGGTCGTGTTCTGTACCATCCTCCTGTCCTGAGGAGGAGGACCTGGCAGAACACTGTCACATATTTGTAAATTATTTGGTTCACATTTATTGAAGATGGATGCAGAGTAGCATAACTTGACAATTGCATTCAGCAAAGTACATCAGCATTCAGGGCATTTATAATAACTGGTTGGTTTGTAATGTATTTTATTAACAGGGCAGAAGTGTGTATATGTTGAGCCACCTAGAAGAGTTAAAGAAATACTGGAGGAGCACTTTCATTTACAGAAAGAAGAATGCAATATTAACCATCCAGCTGCAGGTAATCCTCCTTATCAGCAAACAGCAAGTATTTGTCAGGACAAGTGATCGTTTTGAGAGACTGTGGCAAAATTACAGAACATTTATGTAATATCGTGCTGAACATTTAGAAACAGCAGAATTGCATATAGTCTTTATTACTTTTTTCTCTCTCTTTTTTTTTTTTTGGTCAGAAATTATGGGATCAGAGAGAACGCAGTTAATTCCATATGATATATCAGTTCAATAAATCAGAAACAATTGCCAAGCAGTAGGGAGGTTTTGTTACCTTTTTCTTTGAAAGAAATGCTGTGGTTATTAGTACACTGTTTCTCTTATGTAGGATTGAGACTCATTTCTAAACTCACTCAAAATGAATTTAAAACAGTTGGACTCACAGACAAAAATGTACCTCAGTTAGGTGATGTAATCAGTACCCAGCAGATGTAAAGACCATTTGAGCCTGTAATTCTTATTACTGTGATTAGGCTCTGTAGGGAATTACAGCACCTACCTGCAAATGACTGACTTAGGTAGCTTCTGTGTGTAGTAAGCAGAGGAAAAAAGGCACTTTGGACATTCTTTTGACTTGTCCTAGACACCTGTCATTGTGTGTGTCATGCTCTAAAAGTGCCTGTTCTTTTCCTCTTGACTGAAAAGGGATCCGGGACACAGAGCTGAGTTGCAGATGTTAACACTGGTCTGCTCAATCTGATCATGTGCCTAATGTTACTAAGAGCTGAACGCAACTATCTACACAACTATTTCTGCATCCATCTGCTAATGGATCAAAATTGTCTGGACTATTTCAGTCTGGTTATAAATGGGTGTTACTTTATATGTTCTCATGACTTTTGAGGAGTGTATGACATGTATGTTAAAAGTGCAAAGATAATAGAGAAACACTACACGAATATTTGTTACAGGACTCTATAGTATGGATCTATAGCAAGCTCAGTACAGAAATGGTATGTACAGCACAATGTTATAGGCATAGCATAAAATGATGAATGATAAATATGATAAATATAGATGCTGGTGTACAGATTATTCAGTGAGTACTGAATTCCTTTTTCAGCTGTTTGGACAATTAGAGATGCTTACTAAGTGGCCTGGGCTCTGATAGGCAACAGTTGGCAGGTTGGATGGTTACTGTTCTACACAGTTTAGACTACTACAGGCTAGTGTTTAAAATAAATTAGATGGTTAGTAAATTGTAACCTTTCCACAAAATAAATTAGCTTTTAATTTTGTTCTGATGGTGATGGCTTTGGTTTTTTGTTTGGTTTGGGTTGGATTTTTTGGGGCGTGGGTGTTGTTGTTTTCTCCATTTTTATGAGGGCATGTGGTATTCCAGTATGACCAAATAAGGATGCTGCCTGCATCAGTGGTATTACTGCTGTTTCATATTTATTATAGACAAGCCACATCCTGCTTGGGTTGGGTGCCTGAGTAGTCCTTAGGGCTTCTATAAACAGTAGAGAGCGTTGTGCACCTTTAGCCATCTGAATTTCTCTCTGAACATACCAACATGTTTTCAATAAGTATGGGAGAATATTATTGTGTAGTTTATTAATTCTAGAACAAGCAATCAGTTATAAAGCTGTTCTTTTGCCAAATTGTTAACAGTGGCCCTGGAAGGAGTTTGGAATGTGAAGAACAATTTCTCCACCAGAAGTCTGAAACCAGTGTCACAGAACAGCAGCGATTTACTTTTACAGCCTCAGTTCTACTCAAGACATGCAAAAGTGAAAAGTAAGAGTCCATAATAAGAAACTTTTACTATAACACCTCATTTTTAAGTTGCAGGGCACCTTTCTGCAGAGCTAACCCATCTCATCCTTTAGTAAATAGGCAACAGACTGAAATCTTTGCAGAAGAAATCAGTTCAGGGCTGCTGTGTTGAGTTATCTTATTTCATATTCTGAAACATTTTGTAAAGCTTCCGCATCTATTCTGTGGAATAATCACTTGGTTCCTACTGGTAGATGGGGAGTGTTGGTTTCATGTTCATTATGAACCTTACTGTTCTTAGTATACAACCCTAAAAAATTCAATTGTTTGGAAAAGCACTCCTCCAGCACACCTCCTGAAAAGAGCTTGCTCTAGGAATTCTTTCAGGCATTTTAGTGTTTGCCTGCAGTGGTCAGCTGGTGCTCTGGGAAATGTGTTTCTCTCTTTACAGTCTGTAGAGTGTAGCTTTTGTGGAGCAGACCTGTTCTTTATAGGTTTTAACTTAGTGTGTGCCCACATTCTCTCCTAAGCTAACTCTCTTTAAACTCTAAGGAAACAGTTTGTTTGCTTTTTAAGAGGAATATTTTTAATGCCATGAGCTTGCAGAGTGTATGAAATCAACATATTTTGCCATTACATGAAGCTCATTCCCACATTCTTGGGGGATACTGGTTTAAAAATGCAGGTTTATAAATACATGACTAGCACCCCTTTCTTCCTTCCTATCTTGATCTTGTGAGATCAGGAGATAGTGGCATCTTAGTTACAAGAGCAGCATGGATTAAGCTATTATTGGTATAAGAAGTGTTTAACCACTACAGCCTTCTGCCACACTTAGAGTTACTTTAGAGTAACTTTAGAGTTACTTACTTGTAAGAATACTTTAATTTTAGAGCAGACCTAACACCTACAGAATGACTCGGAGTTTTGAGATGTTGGCATCATTTTAAAGCTCATGTACCTCAGGCTATAAGAAGTGTTTAACCACTACAGCCTTCTGCCACACTTAGAGTTACTTTAGAGTAACTTTAGAGTTACTTACTTGTAGGAACACTTTAATTATTGAGCAGAATGACTCAGCTTTTGAGATGTTGGCATCATTTTAAAGCTTGTGTACCTCAGGTTTCTAGTGAAGGCAAGCAGAGTTTTCAAAGATCATGATCTTCTCCATTTCCTGCTCAGAACCATGAAGAAAAAAAGCTTTAAAACGAAGCTGAAGTTCATTCAGATTTATGTGGGTGCTGAAAATCTGTTGATTTTCTTTGACTTGTAGGAACACTTTAATTATTGAGCAGAATGACTCAGCTTTTGAGATGTTGGCATCATTTTAAAGCTTGTGTACCTCAGGTTTCTAGTGAAGGCAAGCAGAGTTTTCAAAGATCATGATCTTCTCCATTTCCTGCTCAGAACCATGAAGAAAAAAAAGCTTTGAAGCGAAGCAGTTCATTCAGATTTATGTAGGTGCTGAAAATCTGTTGATTTTCCTTTGGGAATTTGAATGAGATTTCATTCTCAGGGACTGCTGCTAGAGACAAGGGATGCCCTTCTCACTAGATGTGCTGCCTGTTTTGCAGTGGGCAGGCAGGCATCATGAGAGAAGAGGTGGCAGAAAATGGGAGAAAAACTGGGAGCCATCTAGCTTCAGCTCCTGTGTTCATCAAACCATCTCCATTCATGCACTCTTTTCTGTGTAAGGATCTGGGGAAGAAAGGAGAGACTAGTGGGGAGATGGAGTAGGCACAGGCTATAGAAATGGGCAAAAGGGAAGAGGTAATGAGAGAAGATGAGCCCGCTGTGTTTAGTGCCAGAGGAGAGGAACCAGTTAAGGAAAAGTAAGAAGCACTGATAAGGGGAATAAAAAAGGAGACATACAGAAATTCCTGAAGGAAACAGAAAAGAGGAGAATACAGTTCAGGAACACAGAGATAGAAACTGAAAAAAATGAAGGGAAAATATGCAGAAGATAGAAAAAGAAAAAAATGTATTCATATTGCTGAATTTACTTAAGTAAATGGAGTTTCCTTCTTCCTTTTACTGCTTTTCCCTAAAAGTGACCAGTGGTTTGGAGGGCTCACTATGTGGTGTCTCATCCATCCTTAGACAAGATGTCTTTTTTACAGATTGCTGAATGTCAGTGCTGTGAAGACCTGAGCCTGCTTTGATGTGTCAAATCAAACATCAGCATAACTAGCTACCTTTGGAAAAGTAGATGTTTCTTTATAGGATTTTGAATAAAGTTCTACTTGAATCTACCTATTTCCTTTTTGTTGTTTTTTTCACATCCTCATACTACTTTTTAATCTGATCATGTAAGTAGTCAAATCTGAACCATATTTCCACCAGTGATGAAAACGTCACAATCCAAAGATTACAAGATGTTCTTGCTGAAAAATGTTTAACTGTGAAAGCACATTTTCATAGTTTTCTCTTTTGCAAAGTGATTCTAAGTTCCAGCAGATGGTTTTAATGTAATTGATGAAGTGGCTTATAATGCTTTAGGCTGAGTTCATTCATTAAACAGAGCATTTCGAAGGTGTTGCAATAAGGTAGGAAAATTACGAAAGAAAGGCCTCATAAAATGAGACCTGTTCTCTCAGATCAGTGGCTAGCCTGTCATTTCTTCAAAGCGAAGCTAGCACTTTGCAAGTTCCCACATAAAAACAATCCTGCTATGAACAATTTGTTAACATAACCATCTATTCCTGGGTGAAAAACAACTAGCACCTGCATAAACATTAAATCTATCCCACGAGAATCATTCAAGAAAAGATGTAAGCAATTTAAGAATAGAGAGATTTGAAGGACAAGAAAAATACCTTTTACTAACCAATAGAGTAATTGACAAGAAAGATACTAACCAATTGGAATCACACATGAGGTCAGTAAAATGATGTAAAAAGAAGAGGCAGCAATAAAAAAAGCCTTTGATACATTGCTCGGTGTGTCATTTCGTCCGTCTCTACAACAACAAGAAGGCAAGAGTTTGTGATTCAGTCTCTAGCCTGATTTAATGGAAGTTTAACATAAATAAGCCTCTCTCCATGTAAGAGCTATCATAATATCGAAGAGCCACAGAGACAGCATGGAACATGAAATAACTTACCACTCTTCACTCTTAAACCCTTATTACAGTGAGGTAACACCAAATGAATATTAGTTTGCTTTGTATTATCATGCCACTTACAAAACAAATCTAGATCCTTCATACTGTATAAAATCAGAAAAGATATGGAGTCCTCCAGAGGCTGTTTCACCATGGACTTCTGTGTGCTACAGGGGCACAGCTGACTCTGTGGTGTAGTCAGTGTTCCCCATGGGCTGCTCTGGCTCCTGGAGCACCTCCTGCCCTTCCTTCTCCACTGACCTTAGGGTCTATAGGGCTGTTCTTCTCACGTATTCTTACTCCTCTCTTCTCTGGCTGCAGTTGCTTCAGTGCAGTGCCTTTTTCCTTCTTTAATTTGTTATCCCAGAGGCACTACCACCGTTGCTCATTTTCTCAGCCCTGGTTAGCAGTGGCTCTGTCTTGGAGCCAGCTGGTATTGGCTCTGTTGGACACAGGGGAAGCTTCTAAAACTTCTCACAGAAGTCACTCCTGTAGTCACCCCCTGGTACCAAAACCTTGCCTAAGAGGTGGAGATGGGATTTGTTTCTGGGCCTCTCAGTTCCTCTGGAAGTATCTATAACACACTGAATATTTTTAAAAAGGAAGTCTCAGTGACAACTTTGTGAAACTGGACTTCGGTTTCCCTTGGTTTTTTTTCTACAGTTATCTGTGAATTAAATCAGATGTTTGTTCTTTGATTTTCTGGATCTCTGGTCTGACATTAGAAGTTTGATTCTACTTTTATATCAGTGAGAAGGGAAAAAGAGAAAAACCAAAACCAAAACAGTCCCTCAGCAGGCTTCAAGTCAACTCTTTTCAGTGTTTCCATCTGACTCCTAAATGAAAAGGGTTATTGTACTGAATATTGTACCTGAGGCACTAGAGAGGTAGTTCCTTTTGAAAATACTGTTCTCACTTTTCAGATGCAAATTTGATCGTGAATCACATAATAGCATTTGAAAAGCACTGGATTTTTGGACAGAGACTTCGATTAGGTCTGTTGTAGCTTGCTCCTGCTTTGTTTCATTTTTACCCTACTCTCCTCTCCTTGCTTTCCCATTCTGTTTCATAATCTTATTTTTAAAATTTCCAGATGTGAAGACTTTCTGGCTCTATCCTGGATTCCTGCACTAACTCAGTTTTGGTGCAGCATTTGGTGCTCATTTTCTGCCTCTTTTTGTGTGATCTTCTACAACAGACAAATTCCTGTTGGATCATTTGTACTGAATATATTACCTCACTTATGTGGTAATTCTTACCTAGTCTGATATATTCATGTTTGTGACCTTTTTATGCATATCCTCTTTTATTTGAATAAAACAAAGAAATTTGTTCAAATTTAATATTGCATAATAATAATGTTATTAATATTACAGTAGTATTTGTAATATTTTTATCATATTTCATTAAATAGGGTGTTGGGTAATTTAAATTACTGTGCTCGCATTTTATCATAGTGACTTTTTATCATCTAACTCTTTGGCTCTCCTTTTCTCTTTTTTAATTTTATTATTTTGTTGCCAAACTCAACACTACTGTTTTGAAAGACAATTGTTATCATTGTTTACATCATTATATCATTGCCTGTATTAGTACCAGTGATTAAACACTTATATTTTTCTAAGGCTACATCTACATTATTAAGTAATGAAGAACAACAGGAGAAGGTCAAGTTATTAAAGCAGTTGGTATTGAGAGCCCCATAATTAGATTATTTGTGATTTAGAAGATTTACTTCAAATTAGGGCTAGTTTTGTCTCCTGGACTGAGATATGACCCCAACCCCTGATCTTCAAAGATGTCCAAAGAGAAGTTTTGTCACAAATCCTTGCTCTCTGTCCTGGGAGATGCTCACTGGCTAAAACGAGAGCATCAGTGCTGGTTGCACTGATCACTGTCTCTTGCCACTGTGGCTGCACAAGATGAAGGCCAGTGCTGAAAAAAACCCAAGGAAGATTGAAATTATTGATAACTGCTTACAAATATCCACAGAGTCAAATTCTGTCTTACTGGCACTCACACATGTGTCAAAGTGTCTAAGGATCATGTGGGACTGTTAGGAAAATTTTCTGTTCTGATTTATGTTCTGGTCTACACTCGTAAACAACAAAGCTGTAGGCTTCAATGGAAAACTGAAGAGTGTCCCAGACAGGATCTTTCATTCACAGTGTGCACAGCACATTTGTTCATGCCTGTGCCTTGACCTGGAAATATCAACTTCGCATGGTTTTAATCCAGCATTGCTCACAGTCACAAGTGAAAACAATGGAAAACTGAAGAGTGTCCCAGACAGGATCTTTCATTCACAGTGTGCACAGCACATTTGTTCATGCCTGTGCCTTGACCTGAAAATATCAACTTTGCATGGTTTTAATCCAGCATTGCTCACAGTCTGCTCACAGTCACAAGTGAAACTGTAGCCCGGCAGAATATTTTAACCCTGCCTTTGCTGCATATGCAGAGACATGAGTTTGTCTGTCCAGAAACTGTTCAGGCATCAACTTTCAATTGGATCTTCTCATCATATTTCCAAATTCTAAACTTCCAAGCAGAAAGATTATAATCCTACATATGAAACACTAGGTAATCAAATTACAGGCATTTAAACTTCACGCTGAAATACAAAGGGCATCATTTATACAGAAAAAAAACTTTTACCAAGCCTTTTCATAGAGAATTTAGGTTCTTGGCAAAACTTGCATTGAAACCATGGGGACTATTTATGAAGAGACTGCAACATCATTCTTAGTGTCACTTTGGTACCAGACAGCATCCTCCTACACTTTGAAGCTGATCACATTTTCTTATGACGAAAAAACTTCACAAGGTTTCCCTGCCTGACAGAATGTCTGGGTTGATAGCTGTGGCTGAAAACACAACCATGTCTTACAGTACCTTTTAAACTGCCTTTGTGAAACAGTTGACAAATAGCTTCAAACACTTTTCTAGGCTTAAATATTTCTGAAGTGTGACAAAACAGAGTGAGTCAGAGTAGAGGAGGAAGCCAGTTGGGAAGTTCCAGGCAAAAATATTTACTGCTGTTAGTGATGGCATCTATTCAACCTTCAAATAAGCAAAATATTTTTTATTTTGCAACAGCTGCATTACTAACACACAGCATATTATTTTAAATTCTTGAGTATCAGGAACATGAGAACTTGCTGTGATTTCCACAGAGCAGTAAAGCACTCCCAAGCTGCATATACAGTGCCAAGAAGCCTGGGTGGTCCTCAGTCCATGGGGCTATCTCCTGGACTGGTTTATCTCCAAAGCAGACAAAATCAGATGTGTTCCCTGTGGGAGGTCTTCAGTCATCTGGCAACACTACTCTGCCTCCATCATGTTGTAGTTCTCAGTGATGTCCATGGAGTTTTTCCTGAGTCAGAGTGAACAAAACTGCTTGATAAAACCCTGCCAGCACAAAGTAGCTGATGTGATTGTGGCATGGATGTGCTGTGTGTTATGGCAGAAATGAGGCAAACTGAAGTTTGGGTTACATGGGTTATTGCCTGGCTGGTGTTTATTTTTCCAGTCAAAAAATGAGACATTAAAAAGGGGAGAGAAACATCTGACCTACACACAGATCTGAGGACACCTGACTTCCAACCTTGGTCCTGACAGTGAGGTCACTCCCTGTATCCCTCACTCTACAGCAACACATCCCATCTGGCTCTTAAATTTACTACACTAAGATTTCTAGGAATCTGCTGGACTTCTAGATGAAGGCACAATTGTCATTATTTTCAGCAGTGAATATGATGAATATCCAATTAAAATGTATTTCTTCTATTTCCCATACTGGGAGGGTTTGAAGACAGCAGCAATATAACAGTTGGATCTGTAATTTGTAAAAATTCTAAAATATATCTCAAATATACATTTCATCTTGCTCTAGATATAAATTCTATAAAGATTTTTGAACTAGTGGACTACCTACAACATGTAAATGTAAACATATATGTAGCTTCCACAGCAGCAGGTGTAACAGGAAAATTAATTTAAGGTGACAATATTACTCATAGAAATGATTTAGGCTACTCTCATCTTGAAATGATTAAATTCTTATTTGCCATAATAAACCAAATATTGTTATAGTTCTGAATATCTGTGTTGTATATACAACCACAACTTACTGTGGATTTCAGTAA